AAAAAAATTTACATATAAATTATGAGATGATTCAGTTCTAATAATAAAAATTATCAATGTGAATATCAAATGGGAAGACAAACTAATAAAAACAAAATAATTAAAAAAATATAAAAACGTCATATTACAACAGTTTTATGGAACAGTTCACTTTTGGTGTGTCATAAAGGCAATTTTGTCCAGAAATCATTTCTTTTAACTATACAGCTTAAATAAAATTTTGAATGTCTACCATTTAACAATATGAGTTATAATAGGGTATTAGCCTAAATGACCATTCAATAAATTTGTTTCCCTTTTCCGACTAATTTACTTAATTTTGGCGAATTTAATTTGTTTATTTGTATCCACATATTTATTTACTTTTGATAGACTTAAGGATTAGTTTGATAGATTTAATACACCAATTATTAAATTGTGTTTGTGTCTTTAGTTCTTTTTAGTTTCTATTACCGTCGAATCATAAACTCTGGTCACTTTCTTTCCAGTGATCCCACTCATCATTTTTCTATTTACAAATCGATTTATTTTCCATTGATTATAAAATTAATGAATATTTTCTTTATTTTGTTTTGTTCAAAAAAATTAATGAATATATGTTACAACAAACACATGAAAACACTGCAAACTCCAGCTCTCTCTTTTTTTTTTCTACACAAAGGGATCAAAACAAAATTACCAGACATTTCTGATTTTAGTTTTTTTTTCAATACTGCAAATCTTTTCTGATTAGACCTTCCGAGAAACAAGATAACCAGGAGGACTTCTAACATTTCTTGACTTAATACTTGCAGTTCTCAAAAGTCTACGAAACTCATGAAGACTGATTTTACCATCATTATCAATGTCTGCTTCTTCAAGAAGTGGCTCAATGGACCCTTTCAAGCCAGTATGCTGCAAAATATTAGAAGAAAAAAAAAAAAACCTTCTTAGTAATATGACATTAATTACCGAATTAAGAAGAGTATATGTATTACCATTCGAAGTTCCTCTGCTGTTATATATCCATCTCCGTCTATGTCGAATTTCTCAAATGCTGCTCTTGATCTCTGTTGCCATTTCTCAGAATCATGCTCCTCTAGCTGATTTACGTGTAACGCCGCAGCAACAAACTCTTCGAAATCCACAAATCCATCTGTGTTGCTATCAATCTGCATCAAGGCAAACACAAATTTAGATTGAAGAATCTTACCACCATTAACTAACTTGTGTTTACATGTACACACCGCTTGAAGAATCTCTGCTACTCGTGCATCTTTAAGCTTCCAAGGATGATCTTTCGCAAGCGCCTAAAGAAACATGAATTGATGTCATTGTGGATCATTTTTTGCTAGTGATAAGAGAAGTTTTTTTTTATTTGTTACCTGTCTCATTTCTTCAAGGCTAATGGCGCCATTTTTATCAACGTCAATCGCATCAAACTGGTCTCTAAGATCAGCCAATTCTTCCTCATCAAGTGTCGTCGCTAGAGCCTAGACCCAACCAAAAACACAACTCATATAGT